CCCCAGTTCACAGCTCCCCCATAGCTCTTTACTGGGCTTTATGACTGCACCCTAAACGTGTGCAGTTTAGTATTCAGCTGAAGACTCAAAGAGATCACTCTGTAGATATCTAGAGTTCTCTCTGCATAACTCCCTCTTCTCAGGCCTTGGTCCACAAATTCCGGTCACTGCTATCTCCCCAAATTCTAATCTCTCTCCTCAGTTCGGCAACACTGTTATACTCTGCTTGAATTCCCCTTCCCTGCACCATGATCCAGAAAGTATCTCTGGCAGAAAGCTGGGAGAGGGTGTTGTAGGCCTCATTTTGTTTCTCTCACCTTGGTGGTTCTTCAAGAGGTACACTTCAGTTATTCCAACATGTTTGGAAGCAAAATTCAGGCCACGCCTTTTTTGTTTAATTATATCTTCTTCTTTCCTTATGTTTTCAGTTCTTCTTTTGCTTATTTAAACACTAAAAGCATTCATTTTATACTGACTGTCAAGTCCAATATCCAAAGTCTTGGATGTCTAATTTTAATATTTGAAATTTATTTTCATTTACTTTGGCTTACACTGTGAAATTTTGGATTGTGACCTCATATTCAACTGGGTTATCTCTGTGGGAATCCTATGAAGTCTAGGTTGAGAGTGAACATTTTTAGAGAGGATTTGTTTGCTTCCACCAAGCATCTTGAGGGTTTCTAGACCTCAAAGACAGCACATAAAACATGTAAACCCAAAATCTCTGGGAAGGCAGGTATGGGTTATACATTCACAGAAGAATCCTTAACCAAAACATTTTTTTCCTCTGAGGCTGAGACATTCACACTCCCTTGTCATTTTGTGTGTATCAAGGGTCCCAGTTTTGTATTTGGGAGTCTTATTTAAAGCTTGATGTCTTACATCACTGTTGTTTAACATAGTGCTGGAAGTCCTAGCATCAGCCATCAGACAACAAAAGGAAATCAAAGGCATCAGAATTGGCAAAGAGGAAGTCAAACTTTCACTCTTCACAGAAGACATGATACTCTATGTCGAAAACCCGACAGACTCCACCAGAAGCCTACTAGAACTGATCCAAGAATTCAGCCAAGTTGCAGGGTACAAAATCAACATACAGAAATCGGTTGCATTTTTATACAACAACAATGAAGCAACAGAAAGAGAAATCAAGAAACTGATCCCATTCACAATTGCACAAAAAACCATAAAATACCTAGGAATAAACCTAACCAAGGATACAAGAGATCTGTATGATGAAAACTATAGAAAACATATGAAGGAAATTGAAGAAGACACAAAGAAACGGAAAAACATTCCATGCTCATGGATAGGAAGAATAAATATAGTTAAGA